AGATGTGTATAAGTCACAAGTTATCACCACAATACATTTCCGAATTAATTAAGGTTCGTTCTGCAACTTGCACTCGTTCCCTCCGGTCAACAACTGACTCAACCAATCTTTATTGTCCATCCTTTCGGTTAAAGTCTTGTGAGGAGCGATCGTTTATGGTTGCTGGGCCCAAGTTTTATTTATTCGTGAGTCACCTTCTGTCACCATTTTCAAAGAACGACTTAAGACCCACTTATTCTCATCCCTTTAATTTATTTTTTTTCTATTTCCATGCCAGCTAGCTTTTATAGCTTTAACTAGGATAGGAGGCGCCCGAATCCGAGATGGCCGAGACTCAACAGGTGCTGACTGTAGTTCAATTAGATTGAACCCTAGCCAGCGACTGTCTCTTATACACATCTAGATGTGTATAAGAGACAGATACCATGGTATTCAAATTTCACTTCTTTTTATTTTGTGGTTTTGGTTTCCATTCCATCTTTACACTTGCCTGATAGCGCTTAGAGACTTTTTGTATTTTGCGCTCTATAAATTAATAACCATTAACCATTACATACATTATAAATGTGAAAAGTGATTTCATGCATACATACAGTATTAGTTTTGTTTATTGAATTATCTACACATATGTAATTATCAATTACTTAAAATATATAAAGAAAATTAAAAGGCAGCACTCTGAGACTAACTTAGATGTTATTTATTTAACACAAGCTTTCGCTGACAGTCAGTGCCAGCTTTATCAGGTGTGTGAAGTAGAAAATTGAAAACAAAATAGAAAAGAGCTTATGCATACATAATTAGCAACAACAACAAAGATAGGCCTATTGCAGTTCATTTTAATTCACCAGGACATAATATTACACACTTTAAAGTAGCTGTGCTCCTAAGTAACTGCTTTAAAAACAGAATTGATAGATTAATTCCCAAACAAACATTTATTCATAAATAATTTTACACAAGCTTTCGCTGACAGTCAATGCCAGCTTTATCAGGTGTGTGAAGTAGAAAATTGAAAACAAAATAGAAAAGAGCTTATGCATACATAATTAGCAACAACAACAAAGATAGGCCTATTGCAGTTCATTTTAATTCACCAGGACATAATATTACACACTTTAAAGTAGCTGTGCTCCTAAGTAACTGCTTTAAAAACATATTTGATAGATTAATTCCCAAACAAACATTTATTCATAAATTTGATAGCATTAATAGTGGCCTCAATATAGATCTAGACTTTCTCAGCCACTATAAGATTTAGTTTGTTTATTATATTATTATTATTAATTAACAAAGGGTATTTCATGATTATTTCATGAATTGATGGAAAATGAAATTTAAAAACATAAGGCTATTTAGAAGCAAATATAGTTGATAATTATTCTTGGTCTTCTCTAGTATCTTGTACTTTGCAATGTTCTGCCTCCCCTTTGTAAGCTGCTCTACAGCAATTTTCACCATTACTGATTTAGGACAGGTAGATTTTGGCCTTTCATACTCCATATGATTTTGACCTTTTAGACTTGCCATTATATCAACAATTGTATAATTTTTCTAATTGAGTTATACTTGACTTAAGAATATAATAATTTCTGTGTGATAACATGATGCAATGTTGCCTTTATTTGCAGGTAGTAAGGATAGATGAAACAAGTGATGATACTTTCAATAGTTTAGTTGCTTTTGGGCAAGCTGTAGGCAAAACCACAGTCTCTTGTAAAGTAAGTATTTTCAGCAATTTATGATGCTTTCTTTAACAACACAATGCATTCACATAATAGCTCAGTGATATTAATACTAATAAAGATTTAGTATATAATACTGCAGTTGTTTCCCTCATTGGCATAATGAGACCTGATGTTCTGAAGTCACTGTGTTCCTTAAGATAATAATAATTTCAACATCAAAAATACAAGATAAAATAGCAGCATTAAAATTGAAATGTACAATAACAACAATAATAATAATAATAATAATAATAATAATAATAATAATAATAACAATAATATTGGTTTTTGATATAGTGCCCTGAAATCATTTCTCAGAGCGCTATTACGCAAAATGTCATAAATAAGAAGATCCCATGGTTTATGTTGACAGTACATATTTCTAAATATAATACATAAAAGAAAAAATATTTTGGTGCTGACTTATACTCTAGTCTCGAGCTAATGCTTAATGGCTAACCAATTATATGACAGAAACCAACCCAGGGAAATCAGTTGGATTTTCATTGTATCTTTGTATTCTGTCACAAATTATTTTCTTTAGGTTCTCTACTAATGACAACTCAATTTTAGGTATATGTGTTTAAACTATTATTGTTTATTTTTGTAAGTAGTTTATTATATTTCTTTACAGATATCTTACAGATGTCCTACAGATGTCTTACAGATATCTTACATATATCTTACAGATAATAGAACCTAAAGCCTTGTCCACACTCTCAAATTTTATTTTACAAAACCATGTGAGATGCCTAAATCACATCATGACCATATATAAGCACATCATGATTATATATGGTCATAACATGACTGATATATGGGCATATTGTGTGGCAGAGCTTTATTGTATCTTGGTTTTTTTTTCACACTTTTGGTTTTTTTTTTCACACTTTTAGGACACTCCTGGATTTATTGTTAATCGACTACTTGTTCCTTACCTTATGGAAGCTGTCAGGTTAATGGACAGAGGTATTTTGCATAAAGTGTCATCACTTTTGTTATTGAAATGGTTGTATTGAAAATATTTTATTAACATTGTTATAACTTTATCTTGCGTCATAAATACAGATATGTTATTATTTTATTTTACCTAATTATTATTTACACTATAGGAAACAAAACAAAAAGGGCAATTTATTTAAAGTAAAATGTTTTAAATTAAAAAGTAACCTTTGCTAGAGGAAAATGAAAATGATAAAGCAAGAAAAAAGAATCACAAAACCCCAACAAAATCATAAGAATTGTGCAAGGCACTAAAGCTAGCTATGCCATTATTATTAACCTTCTTATATTGCGCCCTCATTTGTCAAGAATTGTATTTCTGACTGAAGTTTATGAATGTTATTTTCAGGTGATGCCAGTGCCCGTGATATTGATGTTGGTATGAAATTAGGAGCAGGTCATCCAATGGGTCCCTTTGAACTACTTGATTATGTTGGTCTTGATGTCACCAAGTTTATTATGGATGGTAAATTATTATTTTTTTTTTTATTTGTTAAATTTTTAGGCTCGGGGCAAAGAACATGGCAATAACAAACTTACAGAAATAACTTTCCAAAGTGGCAATTCTTCACTAGACAAGTGTACAAACAAGATGCTCTACATAAACTAACCAGGGGTGGTGCCAAGGGGGCGGGGGAGCTGCACCCCAGGACCACTTTCTGAATATTTTGGGGACGTCGGTTGGGCAAATCTTGGTGCCACCCCTGAAACTAAGTATCATGTGAGGCTGAAAGACTGGATTTTGTTTTTAGTTGTGAAAATGCACATGAATTGAACCCAGGACCTCGGGAAATGCACTTTCTATAGCATTTTTGTATAACAAGCCGAAATGTTTTTACATATATGCTGGGAATGGGTGTGCAAACATTACAGAATATAGGTGCAAAAAATAACTGCATACAGTGTTATTGATTGCCAGCCAATATCAAGGTCTTTAAAAATAATATAGGAATGCAATTATTTATAAGATATTTTCTTGTCTAATTTTCATTTGAAAGTTTTAACTTGCTTTAGTGAGACTTTTTTTATACCATGTTTAGCGAACCCTCTGCCCGCCAATAATGATGATTTCGAATAAAAATAAAATTTTATTTTTGGCCAGTTAGCACACCTGATGCCACGAAAAAAGAAATGAAAATTTCAAGATAAAAAAAAAGGTTTTATTTATTTTTATTACGCCCACCGCAGCCTTGAAATTTCCAAAAATAGGATATGAATGTTTCTTCCTAATTATATAAATTTTAAGCATTTAACCATCACATTACTACACTGTTTACATTCACCAGTAAAATTTTTTTTTTATTTTCTCCATCTGGATGTTTTTGGATGTTTTGTTTTTTCCTGCCCTCCTCTGAAGATTTAAAAAAAAATAAGTTCGCTAAACGAGGCATAAAAAATGTCTCGCCATTGATATACAAAATGATTACGGTAATGTTTTGAATTTCGTTTTACATTTTTTTTTAAATACAGGTGTTTAAAAAATTTTAATTGATAAGCTTTGTTCACATTTTCTTGGTCAAATATATTTGTGATTTGCCTATATGTGGGCAGGATGATGTCATATCACACCCATGATATGCCATGGTAGGAATGTCCTCGTCGCGGCCCTGAGTAATGCTTATTCTACCACCACTACACACCATAGCAAGTCAACATCTACTTGTACAGTAATGATGATCATTTTCATCATGCCATCTGATGGACCTGGCAGTGTGGAATGATTGGGATGATAGAAGAATATGTGTGCAGCTCTGCCTGAAACAAAGTATCTAACAAGTGTGTGGACACATAGACACAATAAGAAGACCACCCACATATGGAAAAGTCACAGATGTTTGACTTTTTTCCTCATGTTAGGCTGGCATAAAGATTTTCCAGACAACCCACTCTTCAACCCTAGCCCTTCAATAGATAAGCTGGTTGCTGAAGGGAAACTTGGTGTAAAAACTGGAGAAGGTTTCTACAACTATAAGAAATAAAATCTGATTGTCAAGCAAAACAACAACTGAAAAGATATAAATTATTTGTTTTGATTGTCGGAATTAGATGTGCAGTGTTAAAAGCAATACATGTTCGTCGATCAATGGATGTTTTATCAGACAGTACATCGTAATACAAAGACTTCATCACCAAATTAAAAATCAAATAATTATATTTATTTCCACCTGGTATATGACAATTTTGATGTATCGTAAGTGGATATAAATTAAAAGAAAATATTATTCGGACAGAGTGCTGTAGTGTCGTTTGTGTTTGTTTAACTGTAAGCAAATAGTATAGAACTGCAAGAGGTCCGACTCTGTGTTTCGTTAAAACGCAATGCTATCTCAAAAAGTGCTACCACAAACTAGAGGGTGTCCTACAAAAGAACATAAAAGGTATTCATATTGAACGCGTGCTGCCTCCATAGAACACATGTTCGAGTTTCAAACGCCATTCGAATCAGAGCGATAGATATCTACGTTCTAAGAGTCGAATTTTAATAGTGCGCTCCCTATCTCGCTCGATTCACCAAAGATCTTATAACAAGAATGCCTTGTCCACAAATAGAAACGTCGATGTTTACTAAAAAGCAATAGAAAGTGATTGTAATTGAGAGAGGGCGTCCTAATTGTTACCGAGGTTGTTCCATAGAGCTATTAAACAGAATTTGCTCGTAGATCATAGATGTCCAGTTCGAAAGTAATTGTAATTGCAAGAGGGCGTCCTACACTGCGTTATTACAAAATTTGCACGCAGAAATCGCGGAGAACGCTATCTTGTAATTATAAAATTTTGGTAGTACTAAAGAGAATAATAAGTTCTTTGGTAGTACTTTGTCTTTAGTTTCATTGCGTTCATGCAAAATCAAGGAAGTCGAACCTCTTGCAATGGACCTTTCAGGAATGTCGATCAAACTTAATAACTGACCAATCTGCACAGGTCCATATGAATACGCGCGTGTCTCTTAAAGTACACGTGTTGAACTATCTAAGGGGCGGGGCTTAGTGCAAAGGTCCAATCTAATCTTTGCTATAAGCTGACAGCGGTATGTTATCAAACCAATCAAACACGTAAATCTGGTGACGCTGATGTATAAAGAATAATTGCCTAGAAACAAGGCAACAAAAGCACTGTAAAGCAGTGGTGTAGGTAATAGGCAGTGAAGCCAGTGCAAAGCACTAGAGCTCGGGACCTGTGCAATGGGACTTAGATCTAAATAAATATGTAATTTTAAAAAAGCCTACTTAAATTTTAAAAGGACCCATCAATAATATTAGGTTTTAGAGGTCAATTTTTGATTACTGTATGTTCATTTCAGAGTTTACCTATTACGTACCAACAAACACTGCAAGTAAGCAGACTTTTTAACTTGTTTACAAAAAAAAAATGGAAATAAAGCCATAAACAGCTTCGTATCTTTTTGATTTATTCTAGGCTATTTTCTTTCATTCAGGTATTTACGTATGCTTCGTACCACAGTACGATGCACTAAAATACTTGTTGAAACCATGTTTGTAAAGCAATTGAAATATCGGCACGCACGTTTTTGTTTGATATTTTAAAGTTAGTTCAACTCAGTTTGTTCAATTATTGTTCACATTCAGGGGCGGATTTACGGGGTTTTTTGGGTGGGGGCGTCCCCCATTTTTTTATTTGGGAAGTATAAAAAAAAATAAAGAAAACAAAGAAATAATTGATCGCCCAAAATGCCTCAGAGTTTATCTTTGGACCTCTAGAAAACACAAATTTCGGACACTACCCGGACCTCCTAGGGTAGTGTTGTCTCGATCTGCCCCACTTTCGGTCCCCCTTCTTCGGACATCTCTGGATCTGCCCCTGACATTTTTTAATCACGTCAGGTGATCATAATTCATGATGAATACGTTTTAGATTTACTTCACTACAAGTAGGTGGATGATTGCTCTATTCTCAATATTATACTTTAATGTTAGACCTAAACCTAAACGAAGTAAAATATGTGGATCATTGCAAACTCACTACCTGCTAAACAAAAGCCTTTTGTTCAAATATGGTTTCCTTTACGCAACTTCTTGTTTCGATATAACCACCAAAACCAAGTTGTATAGAAAACCAATTTAACGTTATATTGTCCCATGGAGCTATAAATTGTCCAAATGCAAAAGACTGCTCGCTCTAATACTTACAGACTACTTCTTGAGTCTGATTTATTAGAAATCAATATAAAATAAAAACTGCATTATTTTATAGAGCATAGACATAATTTTTTATTTTAATCTGTAATAATCTATTACATAGTCGCAACTACGCATGTTGAAAATCACGTCACATACACATTCATTGTCTAATATTGTTTTATACATTTTTATTAGTTAACAGTTAACTTCACAGCGTATACAGTTGTTGCCGCATGTTGTTGCCAGATTTAAAGAAAAATAAACATTAATTATTGCTATAAAATTCAGTTCAGATTGACATAGATCCTTCATTGTATGACTCGTTTGTTATTCAAAATGACCTAGCTGTGAAATGGCTCATTGGCATGCTAGTGTTGACTGGAGTGGAATAACATAAAAATGTAAAAATTAGGATTCATAATTTAGATTTAAATTTATTTCAAAATACCTCCAAGTATTGAGAAAGTATAGCCTATCAATAGAAATATCACAAAATATCAAAACCACAATTTGCCTTTTTAAAGAGCACTTAAGGCCCGTACTCTATTAAGTTAAAAGTTAAGTTAAAATAAGTTGTTTTCTTAATAAAGATTAAAAAGGAATCTTATAACTTTTGCATTTTAACAGCAATCTATCTTAGGCCACAATTTTGCATTAAAGCTACTATAGTATGTGGAAAATTGAAGCTGCGATCCAACCGGCTCTGCCCACCACCTTTGCACCCCATCCCGATGGTAATCGTGGATATGGCATTAAATTCACACCAATCTGTGACTCGTGTTATTGTTAAGCTGCCTAATAAATTGGAAATATTAACGATTAATTGTATAATTTTTCATATTCAGGAAATTAAACACACACCACAAGAATGTATCATTCTGTCTAGGCGTACATTAGTGGGCAGACTGCATAACATATGTATTTGTTTCTCATCCTTCTTTTCCCTTCGACGTTTAGTGTCTTCCACAGTTACATCCTTTTCTTGTCTACATTCCTGCGAGCTTAATACCTCAATTGAATAGTCTTAGAGAGAAGTTGTTCGAAGGCAGTCACACATGTTGCACCAAGAGAACAACTATATTGGCTTTGTGCGCGGCTTTGCATAATATCTTCTTTTTTTGTTTGAATAGTATGAAATTGTCGTCCATCACTGGTTAATATCTTGTTGAAGAACACATTCTTTTCCTTGGTTATTTCCCGGGTGCCTAGTTGCTCTATAAACTTAAGTATCATATCTGATTGACTTTACAATTAGTTGGAGATCTGCAACTCGGATGAACTGAACAATTGACCTAAAACCGGTTCTTGTGGCACGAAGCACAATTCCGAATTTTAAGATCTAAATTTTTAATTTGTGATCTGATAATTAAAAAAAATGATGGGCCAGGACCAAACGCTCTCAAAAATAACAAAATTGTGCAATTTTCTTCAACATATGACTTACTCGGTCAACAAAGGCTTGCCTAATCGAGGTATCAATGTCTAACATAAATGGGGCGATGTGCGCACACGAGGACTATTACAGTAGGCCTAGGCCTTTATGTTTCTTTTTTAAATATTATATACATATTTGTATTGCCCTACCCTTAGGCCTACCCCCTCCCCCGACCACGACCTGTCATGACCAAATTTTCGATTAAACAAGAAGTAATCTTGTAAATTTTGCCACATACTTTTCTACGGTAATCCAAGTATCGAGCGGTTTTTGTCAGTTCCTTCTCTTTTTTATGTTTGCTTGATAAATATTTCATCTTAGTTCCCCTTATGAGCTAGTTCTCTCGTTATTACTTTCGCTTCGGCATTGTTTGTTTTAATCGGACACAAAGATCATTTGATTTACTTTTAGTTTCAGGCTATAGTATTTACGCAAACAATCATTTATAGAGTATTCGAATATATTTTTTATAAGACTAAAATTGATATACCCTAGATCTGTACTTTGTGTTAGTCATTCTATTTACTGATCGAACACTTGCGACTAACCACAATCGTTATTCAAACAAATGAGTTTTATATATGTATATAAATGTTACTAATTGTTTATCACATGAAAATATTAACCAATCACACAGCTCCGATATTAGTACTGGTATAATATAAAAACGCGATTACTTCCTTCCACGATGCCACAGTAGACCTAACATCCGACATGTCCTAACTTTACAAGAAACAGCCTCTCCCAATCATGGAGATTCTACATATGGCCGAGTAAGTAAAAATGTTGATGCATTATTAAGATAAACAAACAGGCGAATAATTGTACAGTAGGCCTATCCCAAAATGAATAGGCCCTATACTGAATGTATTCCGGTACCTGTACAGGAAATAGACACCAACAAAATCAATATGCAGCACTACTAAATTGGATGAAAAAGCAAAGTGATCGAATTAATCTTGTCTGCTCATTATCTTACAGAACCATGTTGAACGACGCTATCTTCAGAGATGATTGGCAAGCAGTAAGAAGGATTTGTAAGACTGAAAAGCATCTTGTTAACAGAAAGGATAGGGTATGTACTTATCGTTGTTATAAGCCACACTGGTCAAAACTGTAACAATGGTCTATTATAAAATCTAAATATGAATTATGGATTGTTGAGGGAGTTCAAAGTCCCTAGCATAAGATTAGGCCTATACTAAATGAAGGTTTTGTTTGACTAAAGAATTTAAACGCATCCCAACAAACAATAAATCACATTCAGATTAACATAACTTAATTGTCATACCATTGTGGCAGCAGCGGCAGCAGGGACGGGTTGGGGATGGGTGGTAGTTCCTCTCGCCGTAGGTCAGACAGACTAAGCCTCCTTAGCCGTGACTAGTTGGATCCCAAAAATTATATTAAAATGTATAATACGGTCTAAAACGTCTCACATAATCGTTATTGTCCCACGGACCTTGCATATGAACACCCACCGGGTCTTAGCTACTTTTCTGGTCTCTGCCAGAAAGTATCACCACTATATACAATATGTGTACATTATATAGTATTCTGTACTTGTTTTCGTTGAGTAGTTCTAGCAAAACACCAAATACTTGCTATGTATCGACATAACTTGTTTCTAGTACGTTTCGTCAATACATATGCCTAGTGAGTATTACCAACATGTATGTGTGTATCTGGTGTATTTGTTTTCTTAGAGCGGCAGAACACCAATAATGAACACTATGTATAGACGTAACGTGCCAGAGGACGTCCTGTTGCTTCTCATAGAACGTACGAAAGCAGAGAATCTTGAACAGGCAATGGTAAGTCGGATTATATATTATTTCATACAGTATCAGCACTACAACAGATAGGATTCTGTTTCTGTTTGTATTTTTATGTTAATATAAAATAAAAACAATAATTATAATTATTATTTTTTTATTGTTTATTATTGATAAAACAGTTCTACGTTATTAATTGATATCATTATTCAGCAAAACAAACAATACGGATTCGATATGAGCGTATAATAGTATACGGATAAAGACCCACATATTCATTTCACGTTTGCAATATAAGAAATACCGTATAATACCTAGTCTTATTTTTTAGGTTTAATAATAATAGGCCTAAAATTAAAACAATATTATGATTTCATTAAGATTGGAATTTCCCACAATTTTACCCCAAGAACAACATTGAAAATATTGACTTATATTATCAATATTTACTAAAGAAAAATGTAGTAACTAACATAGACCTATGAGTGATTTTGTGTGTGGTTTGTGTTGTTAATATGTGGTTTATATGTTCTATCTTTTGTTATCTATTGTGTTGTAGGGATTTGATGATACCATAGTTCATAACTTGGCAGGATATGCGTACGCATCAGCATTGAAACTCGTTTTAGACAAAACAACTAAACACATCAACAACCAGGCAAACGCAGTGAGTATAACAATCGAAGCTGTATGGTCATTGTAAACGAATGGACCTTTCTTCCAGAGTCTCATTCAACTAACTACTGACCAATTAGGACAGGGTCAGAAATATGCTTTTGTCCCAAATACACACACACACCCACCCACACCCACACACACACGTTTACGTACGTGTACGCCATCGTTTTGTGGGCCTTGGCAACAATGGTTAATGGTTTGAAATGTTATAGTATAAAGTGCAAAATACAAAAAGTCTCTATGCGCTGTAAAAACAAGTGTAGACATGTTTGGAAATGTGAAAGAATAAAAGAAATAAAGGTAAACGTTCCAATCCAAGCCAAGCCAGCCTTCGTCTCTAAGCAGGGATTGATCTCCTAAGTGAACCCTGGTCAGCACGTTCTGTTGAGTCTCGGCCATCTCGGACTCCCGTCCTACCTAAAGCTAATAAAACTCACTGGCATGGAAATAAATCATTGATGCATTGATTGCAATCACATTCTATTTCATGAGATATGTAGATATTTTTCACTAAAATAGTTATTGAATATTATTTTAGGCCTATTGTTTTATTATTATTATTATTATTATTATTATTATTATTATTATTATTATTATTATTCATATTATTATTATTATTATTATTATTATTATTATTGTTAGTAATTATTTGTTGCCACATAGTAGAAAGGTAATGTATTCAGTATATTGGACCAATTGGGGTTAAGGTGTGGTAGGGTATGCTAATTATATACTGAGTGTTATGTTGTAATGTAATGCTATCCATTAGAATAAAGGAACACTTGGCAACTGACAAAAAGTCCGAAAAACAGTTAACCATGCAAATCCAATAGCAACGCAAATAATTTTTAATAATAGATCAGGCCAACACCAGTTATCAACTTAAGATCAAAGAAGCCCTTCACATAAAATGGACGAATCCTTCCCTCAACAAACAAGTTCAACATTACAACATAACACTCGGTATATAATCAGCAGGATACACTACCACACCTTAACCCTAATTGATCCAATATACTGAATAAATATTATTTATATTCTTATTGTTGTTACTGTTGTGTTTTTATTATTATTATTATTAATCCTGAATTTAATTTAGCTAGGCCTAGTCTTAATTTTGATTATTCATTTTATGTATATGTATTATAACAAACCTGAAATTGTTTATTTTATTGCAGCTTGGATGGACACCCCTACATTACTGTCTAGATGCTTCTTGTAGTTATGACGCACACCGACAGACGACATTGTGTCTGTTGACGTATGGTGCGTCACTGTCACTAAAAAATGGGGTAATGGTCAATGGCCGTATATTTATGCTCATGCAAATGAAATAAACAATAATATTACTGTAGTATATTCTATATTTTCATAAATCAAAACAATTCCACATTTCTTAGCATTGTGACCAACTTGTGGGTAAATATAAAGAAAATATCAAAAGGCTAACTGTAATATACAAACAATGAAACAAATACTGTAAAATATATGTATATGAAAATTAATATAAAAGGTTTAAAAAGTTATTAACTGAGAGGCGGAAGTTAATACAACATCTTAGCCTTGGTTCCAGACCATTATTTAAATATTATTTCGTGTGAATTCTTTAAGAGAATAATGTGGGCATCATTCATGTGTCGAAGCCATAGAGTATATAGTAAAATCATTCTATGATCGTGAAGCTTCATTTAGGCGCTGATGGCGCTGTATTTATTTAAGACATAGTGTTCCTTTATTCGAGAAAGGCCATTATTGCAACCCAAAAAACAAAAAAAAAGTGGCGTTCGTGTTACCGTTGCTAAAATGGTCTCACGTGATGTAGTTAGGACCATCTGACTTGTTGCAACGTTATATTTGCAGCGTGGAAAAACGCCTCTAGATTTTTATCGTATGAACAAATGTAGTGAATATGACGAAACCACAAGAGATAAAAAGAAGGAAGAACTCATCGACTTAATTGAAGGTGCGTACAAGTTTAAGGGGAGTGAGGTCGATATCCCCCCACGATAGAAAAGTGGGCGTGGTCGGGCGTCTCAAAATTCCTCGAAAGTGTGCCAGGAGCGAAGCCCCCGAAAATATGACAATTTAGGGGTTTCAAATGATTATTTAGTCGATTTTAGAGTCTAATATGTAGAAAATGCATATCAATTTTTGTTTCTCCGACGGATTGTGGTTATTTCTCCCCGACTGGAGGGGGGGGGGTGGTGGTGGAGGTGCTGGCTCCTGGCGCCATCCCTGTTTGTGTGTCTCTCTGTATTTTTTTTTTGTTTATAATCAGGAACTAAAATGGATCATCATAACATTGATTGTTGTTACATATAATTGGTCAAAAGAGATGATTGAATTTTGAAGCGAAAATGTAAAAGAAAGTCAAAAATCCATTAATATCACTAATGACTGATATTATTTTCTTTTAGAATTATCAATTCCATCAGAAATCGCTGCCAGAGGTGAAGATGCCGTTAAAGCATTTACAGATGAAATAAAAAATGGTGAAATGACGGTCGTTAATTCCCGATTCATGTTCCTTGGAAATGAAGGAGTAGGAAAGACCAGCTGTGTTAACGCCATGCTTGGCAGAGGGTAATTATATATTTTTTTCTTATATGAGTGTATGAGATATTATTTTCCTTCGAATTTGAATGTTTTTGTTTTCAATTCTTACGAAGTATGTATACATTTTTTGCTACTTAAAAAATTGTTCTGTATAATTTCTAAGACTACCTATATTTTAATTTAATTCAAATTATTAACATGTAGGAATGCTGACTTGTAATCATTTATGAAATGATTTTAATTTCACACACTTGCATAGACTATAACTTGTTGTCCATAATTGGTTGGCTAATAGGTTATAATTGCTAAGGCTTATTGTTGCTTATATTTAATAATTTTGTATTATTATTATTATTACATTACTATTATAAATCTTTAATAGGTTCAATCAGCACGAACCATCAACTGATGGTATTGTCACAACTGTCTTTCAAACTATGGGTGAGAACTCCAGCAAGTGGGAGGAGCAAAAGGGTGTGGAAGGTATGAAAATGATAATGATAATCAACCCTGGTAACACAACCACCCACCCCCCACCCACTCATTTTATGCTTTAATTTTATGACTAGATTTTGTTGCATTAATTTTCAATTTTGTACAGTATGTGAACTAACCACACAGATGCACGAGCACGCAATCGCAGCAAATGTTGCAAAGAAGATTACTGAAAGCCAAATAAACACAGATGTAGCTGCATCCTCATCCACGCTTGATCCTAGAAAAACAACTTCGTCCGTTTCTTCAGCGTCCTTAAAGGTAGAATTGATTTAATTAAAATATTAAGTTTATTATCATTATTCATAACTTTAATTTACAATTTTAACTAATAATTGCCATTTCTATTTTGTATTACTTTAATAAACACTTTGACTAAACTAGTATTATTCAAAGAAGATAAACATTTCTGCCTAAAATATTGTCACTTTAACACATTTTGTGTATCTAAAGCTTTGTCTAGATTATCAAAATTTTTTTTGACAAAATCTGTCGTACGACATCACATAGTCATGATGTGCCATGCTCTAGACGTGATCTCATCATGACCATATTTAGGCATGTCACGTGGTTTTTTTTTTAAATAAAATTTTGATAGTCTTGACAGAGCTTTATTAGTCTAAAGGCCAACTCAGACAGCGTCGGCAGACGCAGCCCGACGCGATTTATCGTCGGGGACAGTCTTAAGCCGTCGTGAGAAATATTAAACATGTTTAATATTCTACGACGCGATTGGCCCCGACGCAGACCATCGCGTCTGCGTTTAACTCACACAGCAGACCCGACGCGACAACAAATCGCGTCGGGTTGCGTCGTACGACGCTGTCTGAGTTGGCCTTTAGTTATGCATGCTAAGTCATCCGATGAACGAACTTATATGTTGGAATATTTACAGGATGAAGTAACAGAGACAATGGCACCGACGACTTTACAGAAAGGAAAGAATGGTAGTTTTATCCATAATTTTTAACATTCCATTAATATATTAGACAACCGTTATCATTATCATCATAATCATTATTATCATCATCAGTCATCATCAATATCATCATTATCATCGTCGCCACAAACATCATAATTGCCATCATAATATTATTATCTTCAATAAATCACATTTCATCTCATCATCATGAATATCATGATCCTCAACACCATTATCATTTTGCATAACCAATACCATCATTGCATCATCGTAATTTGCATTATTATTATCATTATGATGATTTCAACAAATAAACTTCCAAGTATTTTCCGTTCATGTTTTTCAGGAGGACAAGGAACTCTTGGTGCTGGAGCTATTTCGATGAATCTTCCAATGAAAGATCTTGCAAACAGACTTGAAAAGAAACTCCCAGATGGAATTCATAAGAAGCTTGTTAAAGAACTTGCCGACCAGCGTTCTGAACTCAGCTATTTCGGTGGTCAATGTGATATAACCTGCATATGGGACTACGCGGGCCACTTGAGTTATTACATAACACACAGGGTTAGTGGGGAATTCTCTTGAATGCGTTAATATAGCACTTTAAGTTCAGAAATTTTTGATTATGTTATGAGGTTTTATGCAACTAAAATATCTTACATGCGGTATCTCAAAAAGTGACCGACCAAGCGTTCAAATGACAAGCATAATTCAATTTACGATAAACATCAGCTCAGTGTAAATGATATTGAGCCAGTTGACATTCGGATTAGCTTATTTCAGATTTTAGTTATAATGTAATTTGATTTCAACTAATCATTGTTTATCATTTAAAACTTTTTTTTCTTTATAGTTTTTTATTACAGATGGTTCATCCTATGGTCTTGTTTTTAGTCTATTAGACGATATGGATGCCAAAGCCAGACCAAGGGATTGTCTGAAAGTAAATAAATCACCACACTTCTTCAGTTTTTACTTAAAACAAATGATAGGAAAGTTATAAATACTATTTATTTTCAAAAGTTATTGTGTAAACCATCAATTGAATGTTTTCTTTGTTTTTAGGGGCAGTTTGAAATGACAAATCTCCAAATGAATATTTTCTGGTTAAGGTCTATATATGAACACGCTGTACTGCCTCGTAACGCAGCTCGAAAGATGATCAATGGAAACATATGCTCTCCACCGATAAGTTTAATTGGTACGCACATGGACCTACTTCCTGGAAGTGATGAGGAAAAACAGAAATTGGTAAGACTTTGGGAGAGTTGTGCGCATTCAGTTTGACGTAAATCAATCATTTCATAGTCTGTTTTACAAAGCCGTAACTAATTATCTCCTACTTTTACATAAAGGCCGAAGACAAGTTTAAGAGGATATTCGATGCAATCAAGGGAACACCATACGAATGCCATGTCGACAGGGAAACGTATGCAGTTGATAATACAGCGACATCAGATGCAATGATTGACAAACTGAAAAGAAATGTTGGAGGATACATGAAGGCAATGGCCAAAACGGTTCCTACAAAGTGGGTTCATTTCCAGATTAAGGTTCAAGAAATTGGTAAAACATCAGTGCGCATGTCGATAAAAGAGGTTATATACTGTACTTTCTTTTCTAATAGTTAAACACCCTAGGTGATTAAACGTATTTTCGACTTACATTTCACAATAAGATTAATTTTTAAAAAGATTATAATCAGCTTATGAATAATACTAGTAACATTGCAAATGTAAATTTGATCGCAATTCAAACTATCAATAGTTCATTTTCCATTTGGTGCTATTTTGAGAGCAGCATAACCCTCCATGATAACACTGTGCTAATGGAGCATTACTAGTTGTGTAAATGTAATATTCTGTGCTGATTACTCAATTAGGACAAATTAAGTAAGTTATTTGACCTGAGCTGTACGTTGCTAATATGTTATTCAATAATTATTTAGATCACTAAGATTGCTGTTAACTGTGGTATTGCCAAAGAAACCGTCATCCACGTTCTTACCTACTTTAATGATCTTGGAATCATTCTCTATTCTCCAACTAACACGAAATTAAAGAATTCAGTGATTACTAACATCCCAATTCTGATAGGAATCTTCACAAAAATCATCACAGCTGTAAACCCTGATGACGTTGATAAGGTATGTTTAATTATTTAATGATCTTAATAAACAATATACATTATTAGCTTTTAAATTCTCAGAATTTGAATAGCAGACGGGCTTCAGTGCGTTCAGTTACTTAAAATATGTTTACCTGAGTTAAAACCCCCAAATGATTTGGTAAGAGAACTGCAATGTTTCTACGATTACTTGTACATGACTTATATCAGTTTTTAGAATCTAGCTATCCTGCTAAACTGGTTGTAGCCACTGTGTGTGTGCTGAACCGTTGATATCGTTTGGTCTCCTGTTCAATTCCCATCGCTGCTCTCCTTGGGTTTCAGCTGAAGTAATGCATGTTTCAAAATCGCACCGTTTTTTGGATGAGACGTTTCGCTGTGGAAAATGGCCCATGTGCATGTTAAAGAACTCCGTACATTCTTCGGAAAAGAGTAGGTGATTATCTCCCAGTGTATTGCCCCATTCACCACCAGAACGACTCCACTGGAAATACTTTCGTGGGTTAGGCCTATCCTTGGTGTGTATCACTCCGAAATAAATCCAGTTAAATTCAAATACTGAAATGGTTTCTTTGATGGCTGTTAATTTTAATTTAGGTGCCAGTAATGATAAACCATTGGCGTAAATTGGATGAAGAAGGCATTCTTGCAGAGCAGTTAGTGCGTCATTTATGGAGGGATGTACTGACTGCGAGTGGTAACGATAATGACGTAATCTTTGAAGAATTCATTGAAATAATGAAATTATTTGGACTCCTCTTTGAAAAGGTAAGACAGATTGCCAGGTTTGCATGTGAACAATCTCCATAAGTGTAGAAAGGGGAGTGTTCTATTGAGTCTTATATCTTGTGTTTCTAATACCCCTTTTACACTGCCAAGGGCAGAATCGACCCGGGTTAATTCCGGAGTGATCCCCGGTGCATTTCCCATTTACATCGAATGAAAAAGTCCGGGTTGATCTCGAGATGCTCCCATTTTACACCGGCAAACTTGGGTTCAAATACCACCCTCAGTTTTTGTTGCGATGGTGATAATCACTTCGCTCAAGTTCCTTGTCGTCACGCGTCACGAAGCCACAATATTGTCAATATTAAATGGGAATACAAACAATGGGGCGCCCAGTACGATCTAAAAAAACTTCAACCAAACTTTCGTTACCAAGTTGTCGCGTATTTTATTGTCAATTCTCAATTAAAAAAAATTGTACACATTTGTACAATTAGTACAATTGTACCCAGACAGTGACAACGGTCAGTACATAATTTCTTGGTGGAGGTAGAAATCGTTGCTATTATCCAAATAAAACACACAATTAAGCCTATAGATCAGTATAGAAAACAACAATAATAGCGCAAAATCGTATGGCTGGACGCACTCTAGTGATAAAGTTTTCCTCCATTAGTGGAAAAAGAAGGGCGCCGTGTTCTGGATATACTTAGCAACAGAAGGGCGCCCTGTACGTTGGGCATGAAGTATAGAAAACTTGCATGGTTAAAAAGAAGGGCGCCGCCGGCACGATTTCCGCCTCATTTTTACAATGCGAGTGCTCTATCTTGTATTTCTAGTATCTTTGATTAAAGCAATATACCTGCAAATTGTTTTTTTTTTTTTTTAAATTATGCGAATTAAATCAGAAGTTTTGATATCAAGTCTATACCGAAGCGTTGAGGGTTTAATTTGAAAAGTGTCTAGGCCTAGCCCGTTGTTAGCAAAGTGTAGGTCTACCTGACCACAGCTGCGGTAGGCGCCAGGTAAGGCCTAATTCCGAAATCAAATTCGGTGCTGTTTACACTGGCGACTCTGGAAGGAATGCACCCGGATTGTCCTAGGCATGTCCATCCCGGAATGTTTTGCACCCCGAGTCGGACTTTTTGATGTTTAAACTAGGCTCAACTTTTAACCCGGGTATTGGAAAATCCCGGGTTACGTCCGGAATGTTGCTTGCAGTGTAAAAGGGGTGTAAGATGTCCTCGTATTTTACTATAAATTAATCTTTAGATAATACTTTCAAAATTAAATTGTAAAAAAAAAAAAAAAAAAAAAATAGGAAATGGAAGGGAATATGATTTAACATGTTTCCTCGATCATAAACTCTATCTCTTAACATTCTCGTAAACCAGCTCCGAATTATTTTTCTGATGTCAACTTTTACAGAAGAGATCTGAAGACGGTACTCGTATATTTGTGGTCCCTTCTCGGATGAAGACTAAGACTGAGAACCTGGAAGTCAAGGCAGACGATGGGAGGACTGTATCCATATACGTAACGCCTAGTGACTTTCTTCCTGATGCTGTCTACGATGTCTTGGTTGTTAAGTTTGTGGACCTGAGTCAAGATAAATGTTGCCATGAGGACCCGAAGTTATTTCAGAATCAGGCTGAAATTGGATTAGATGATAAGCATTACCTGAGACTTGGTCGAATATGCATCGACAACAAACAATCCCTGAAGGTAATAGTTATGCTTTTAGGTGGTATCTAATATGCCCCTTTGTCAAAAATAAAAAACTAAAAGGAAGTCACTCACTGGTGTCAATCTAACTCAGCAATTCACTAATCAAAAAGTCACAATAATTTTTTGTCCTTTTAATCGTCATTGTTTTTAATTTATTAAGCTTGAAATAACACGAAGAACAGAGAAAGATCAGCACGGCATCAACAAGCCAACACGTAAGCCGCATCCAATCGCATGTATGGAGGTACGCGACTTTATTCACTGTTACATTTTATTTATATATCCATTTATTTTTATCAATGGGATAAAGGCTATGTGCAATATTTAGGCCTTATATCTTACGCGTCACCAAATGTGCTTTCTTGTAGAAGATTTGTTCCTTTTTACAACTTTTCCTCAGGTTCTGCATATTTTAAAGCAACACCTAAGCGAGGTATATCCGTCTAAGGGACGTGTCGGCTATGCTCTGCAAATTCTTTGCTCTGTTTGCTCAACTCCTGAAAAACCACACTTTCAAGACCTTGAAAGCTGCTTACAGAACGAGCTCATGATTTGTGATAAATCAAGTGACAATACAGCTATGTCAACAAGTCATGTACTAAATTCATTTGTGGCAGGTATACAGATATTATCTATTAAAAAAAATCACAATTTCATTTAGAAATTATGAAAGTATTAATATTTAAACATTCAACAAGATTTTCAAGTTGTGTTTGATCAATAAGAAAATACTGACAATCATTATATTTACAATTTTACAGATTGGTCTTATGTTAATGAAACCAAAAATTTCCACTCAATCCAATGTTTAATCCTCGATTTGGGTACCGGACAAATGCGCAGATTCTTTATGAAAGAAAGTAAGCTTGAGAAAAAATCAGATGTCGGAGAATTCATGATAGAAAAGAAGGACGACATTCACTTGAAGTACGTCGGCTTTGGTGACCTAGACTCGAAGGTGTTCTCACCAGATGCCAATATTGATAACTTTGACATGACCACACTGATTCTGATGATACGCTATTGTTTCAATGGTTCTAAACCAGAATCATTCTGGGAATGTCCTCCAGACGAGGACAACTCCGAGCTGTCAAATCTTGTCCGTATCTATCAGTTTAAGAAGTCTGTTCTAGATTGCAGTTGCAACAACAGGGTTACGGATGAGGAGTTCGACAAGCAGTGGAAGAAACTTACGACAATGTTCAAAGATATGGGTGTTTCTGTTGAAGAAATAGAGAAGTACCGGAATCCATGGCGCCTAATAGAGGAACTAAAAGGTAAATTAACAACACACTACGAGACTGTGATTATCTTAATAACCAGCAAAAAGAGCTTGCGGTTATTTTTTTTTTCAACTTAATTCAATTAAACTTTCAAAAATGGGAGAAGTAAAAACATTAAAAATAATACTGTAATGATAAAATATAAATAAAACAGTCACTTAAAAGGTGAAATATAGATAACAAGAACTGAACATGTTTTGTGCTCTAGGATATTTACGTTGTCTAAAATGTATGTTGATTGATTGAATAATTGATTGATAAATCGATTGGTTCATTCATATATTCATTCATGATTGGTTAGTTAGTTTGCAGGTTAGTTTCCTTGTTGGTCGTTTAGCTGTTTGATTGGTTGATTGATTTATTTGGTGTATTCTTCTTCTTGACAGATACAGATCAGACGTATATGGATGAAAAAGTTAACTTCAGCACAATTAACTCACTTGTGTTTGATGTCGGAACGCAAACAATGAAAAAATTTTTCTTAAGCAATACCAAATTGTCAGAATCTAATGTTGGAACATTCTTGATTAATGAAAGGAAAAACGGATGTCTAAAATCGGTTAGAATTTTCGAAGATCAATGTAATAAAATGTTTACACAGAAAGCTGATATCAATACTTTTGACATTACAATATTGATGATGTTGATTCGGCATTGTTGTTCGTCCTACCCAAAAGACTTCTGGGTAACTCCAGATTTAACATTTTTTATTAAGCTTGCAAATCTAATCCAAATCCATCAGTACAGAAATAGTGAATTGGCCCATTGTTCGAGCGCAAGCATTTCAAATAAGAAGTTTGAAAAAGACTGGGTCACTCTTACAGACTACCTTCTGAAATCTGGTGCCGATTTCAAAGAAATCGAAAAGTATAAGAAACTGCACAGTGTATTTACGTGTAGAAAGTAGAAAATATGCTGTATACGTATTCTAAAGCTTTTAGTCACCCTGGAGCAGTGTTAAACCCGTTTGGCGTTAACGCAAGAGTGCGCGTTTTGTTCGTGAATTTTTCGCACTAGAGCAATTAGACACAATTTGTTCATAAATAATATGTTTACAGTTGTATCCAAATATGTGTATTTGCTAATTGCTATAAAATATGTTTTTCCCCTCTCATATCGGGGGCCCTTTCCTCCTCCATGGTGGTCACGCTGGTAAACATACACGATGAGTCAGCATCAAATATCTATTTTAATTAGGCTAGTTCGAAGATATTGGTCAGAGATATTTATTACAGTTTTTTAAAACTAAGCCTACAACAAATTATGAGTTATAGTATATATTTTTTCATGAATCAAACTAGTACTGTAAATGTGTATTACAGTACGTTTCTCAAAAAATATTTTACCAAATCAATGTTGGTAGGTCTCTTTTCTTTGATCTTGTTAGTAAAATGAGCAAGCAATCATAAAATCAACTTTAAGATTTTTTCAGATTCCCAATTATATCTATCGGAGTGTATTTTTTTGTTTCACAAGAATCTTCCACCATATTCGTAAGAAAACGATACATTTTGTATTTGATTCTCGTCATTAATATTCCCTAACTTAATATTTGAACCGAGTACAGTAATATTAATATATACTATGGTGCAACTAATCTCTCGCAGAAGCATGTCACATGAACTCGTCGTAAAGCAAAAATAATTGGATTTGGACGTCGTATCACATGCTAAATGATCGGATCATAGGAATTAAACAAGATTGTAGTTTGTCCTCAATGCGTGTATTAGTTGTTAAGGGAGAAATACAATAGCAAAAAGAAAGATGTGAGGTTACCGTTTTCATTAGCTGTGGTGAGGCATCCACAATATTCTTAATCAATTCCAACCATTTACAACACTAAACTGAGTATGCATTCATTAATGTTTAATTTTGTCTTTGCCTTGAATCTGTCAGGAGTGGCGCCGTCGGGGGAGGGAGGGCCCCGGTTGGGGAGAAAAAGCACAATTCGTCGGGGAGAAAAAAAATTATATGTATTTTCTACATATTAGTAGACACTAAAATCGATTAAATAAGCCTTTGAAACCCCTAAATTGTCCAAATTTTCGAAACCTTTTAATCGAACCTCGACCACGCCGACTATGCTTTTGTCGGGGAAATCTGACCCCTCGTCGGGAACATCGCCCCTTCCCCGTTGGGGACATCGCCCCCCCCCAACCCCCGTCGGGCAAATTCTGGCGCCACCCCTGATCTATGTCCAATAGTTAATTCGTTGTTTAAATATTATAAATAGCTTTCCTTCATCAGTTGAAAGCCAGTAACATCCATTTATCTAAAAATAGGAAAGTACAAGGCTTTGTAAATGTTATATAATAAGGTTGAATGTGTAACAACGAATAATGGGTGGATTTCTGAAAATTTCAGCATGGATAAAGGTATAAGGCAAGGTTGCCCGTTATCAGCATTGCTTTTTATTATTGTTGTTGAGGTTATGGCATGTAATGTAAGAAATAATAGTTCTTACAAGGGAATTAAATTACCAAATATAAGTGAACAGCACAGACATATAGAAGCTAGAATTAGCCAGTTGGCAGACGATACCGTACTGTATGTCGGAGATGAAAAAACTCTACACACAGCGGTGAAGGTTATTGAGTCGTTTTGTAAAGTATCTGGTATGGCATTAAACAAAACAAAAACAAATGCACTGTGGATAGGAAAATGGAAGGATAGGGTAGACGAACCTCTTGGAATATGTTTTTTTGGGGATGTTTAAATGTATGTGTATTTAATTTGCAGTCTTTATAAATAATTATGTATAAAGAAAGATAAGATATAGTAATATGTGAGTAAAGAAAGAAGGTAATAAGTCCTAATGCTGTTTGTTAAAGGTATTGTATAAAGTATGTATATAAAAGGAGGAAAAAAAATATTGAAAATAAATGAAAAAAAGACAATAAAAGTGGGTTACCCCCACAAAAGACAAAAAAAAAAGAAAGTACAAGGCTTTCTCCGTATTTCTTGTATCATGTTTTTGAGAACGAGGTTCATCACGGTAATTTAAATTTCATGTGAAGGATGAAATAAAATTCTATGTCATTCTGTGTCTGTATTATTTACACGCTAAAAGTTCCTCATATCTTTGCATGTGATTATTTTGAATAATAATTCTTGCCTGATTGATTCTGATTACTTGATACATAGCTTAGCTCTAATGATCTTGACAACATCAGTAACATTCATCATTCTATATCTGTAATAGTGTAAACATCGTCGGGTTCCTGTCTCTGATTGGCTGTAATACCGGTCATAACTGTAAAGTTTAGGCATGCGGCACAGCCATTAACGTGTAACCTGCTCTCACCTTGTCACCTTGTCATTCTGTGCGAGAGTGTTTTTCATAGGTTTTCAACGTCGCTTGTATGCATTGAAAACTTAGTACAGTCCTATTGACTTCAATAAATCTTGAATGTTTATGCTTTTATTCGTTGCAAGTTAATTAAGGAACTTAGGATCAGCTGATAGATAAGGCAAACAAACATTCACTTACACAGGCTATTCAGCTGATAGATAAGGCAAACAAACATTCACTTACACAGGCTATGTTAACAAAATGACATGAAAAATTGTACTATATATTCATACTGGAGCTCTGTCCAGATTATCAAAGCTTCTTTGAAAGCAAAAATTGTGGTATACCTGTAGTAATGATGTGATGTCATTAAGACCATATTTAGGCATGTCTTATGTTTTTGTCACATAAAATTTGGTAGTTTTGACAGTTTTAAATCGTTACCGCCGACATCTAAAATGATATAATCGGGCTTGATCTCCATCAACGAAAGTATGAAGCAGGAAATCTGACCTATTAGTAACCCTGATGTGCCTTGAAGCCGTATTTATCTAAATGTTTAGTTCTTGGCTACTACGTCTCGGCGTAACTGGTTTGAGGGGCAGTCCTTATTATATGCCATGTGATCTGCCAAGCCTGAAACAAATCTATGTCCTAATATATAATTGCCGAGTTCATTAAGCCTATCGTAGTAAAATGTAAAAATGAATGTCAAGATATGGTAACTACAGTAGGCCCTATTTGTTATGGCAGTTGAAGAATTGCAAAATAATGAATGGTAACAGTTGATGGAGGTGATTTTTTGAGAATTAGTAAGAATACCTTCGAGTAAGTTGTTGCCTCAATTGTGGGACCAAACCAAAAGGATGAAAGGATGTATCATGGGATTGCTCCCTGAGTAAAAGTTTATTATTACCGTATATAATAACGCAATAGGGAATAATGAAGATGCTTATTATTTTTTTAATAATCCATTGTTCGCATTTTGTATTCGGACACAAGATTCAGTTGGTCTACCAAAGAACCACGTGATATACTCCTTTGTATTTTTCAAACGATCAAACGAATTACAGTGAAATTTAAAAAAAAAAAAAGAAGCATGAATACGATGACACAAATCACGGTTTATAAGCTGTCTGCCTGGACATAAAGAGCCATACGATCTACTTTATTTCAAAGTAGATTAAAGAAACAACATTTACCAGGCCAACTATTTTGTCATCAGTTTTAATTTTTCAAATTCATTACCGGTATTCAGTTAATCGCTCAATTAATTCTCTCATTTTTAAATGTTCTGTCAGTCGATTTAAGATTCAGATCTCCATTACAACAGTCATATTCAACAAATATTTACATACATTTATATACTTCTTTGAGAAACAGTTATTTAACATATATGATATAGGATTATAACAAAGACCATAGGATGTGGAATATCGAAATCATAAACCTTAAGAATATTTGCAAGTCTGTGTTACGGTTAATAATAATTTAAACTTTATTTAGCATGTAAAAAAGTAAGAAAAGTAAAGAAAATAACTTTATAAAACAATTTAAAATAAACGAAAGAAATGCTAATAAGACAATCAAATAAACAAATATAATTATATAATTCATAAGATGGTAAAATATCCAAAATTAAATAAACGTACAGTTACCATACATGATTTATAACGAATTTACAACTGTTTTAAATCTAATTTAATTTTAAGCAATGCAGCAACACTAGATTTAGGAATATATATATACATACATACATATTTCGAATACATATTATATCTTGTGTATGATACGTATGTATCCATGATTTGTAAAAGTAGAAAGCAACCACCGGTGGGTGAAGCGTATGATTCATGTGAACACAACTTTAATATTGCATCATATGTTATTACTTTTGTTTATGTACAAGTGAGTTGTTTTTTTTTTGTAATTAACAAATGCCATATCACATATTATAACAAAATGTTTTTAATAAATAGTGTCGATACTGTACGTCTTTGAAACGTGTCTGATTACAGATAGATTATAGATATAAGGCACGTTTGTATTGATTCGAGTTCTCCCGTTTGAACTGTTTTAATGAGCAGGTTTTGCTACATGTTGTTTACGGTACTTGCGTGAGTTAAGCAAAATTGCTGACCAGGCGTAATCACATCATTCGGTCGTATGTGCAGCGCTTTTTTCAAAAGCCATCTTAAGCATTATTTGCGATATTAAGTATCGTAATCGATTGGTGGCGCTAGATATTTTTTCAGAATCAATTAATATTAATGAATATCCCACAACACCGTCTGAATTTCATATCATAAACACGTTTGTATGCGTAATAATTTAGTAATTACAGAATATAATTATCTGCACCAATTAATAAAAATAAAGTTACGTTTTACAGAAAAGGAAAAAAATAAGATATACCACCGTGTCCGGCAGCCGTCTCCAATAACAATATACAGTCACAGACCCTATACCAGTATAGGGTCTGTGATACAGTATACTGTAATAGTAATCATACGTGCTCACTATGGCGTCCCATAAGACATCAGAACGCTGTTTCCCAAGTACATAATAACAAGAAAACAATAGGCGTACAACCTATATCTAAATAAAATATACTGCTAGCCCAGAAAACAAGAGGAGACAGGAGGAATTCAGAAACAGAGTAGATCACTGTTTACCAGCATAGGATAATAACAGGTTGCATCTATTAAACAAGGTAAGTACAGTGTAATTGGGCCTAGCAATATTTAGACAGTGACTAAGTCGTTGTTTAGAGTGTTAAACACGTAACAGTAAATGAAACTCTGTGTGCAGGTTTGGATTAGCCACGTCTATTCATTGTCGCAATATATTGCCAATAAGTTCTGGCTTGTAAATTTTCCAAATCTCATTAAATCTTTTATTAGGTTTTGTCGAGTTAAAGAAACTATCTAGCTCGACCAATGTCGATGTTCAAGATGGCAAGAATGCTATAGACGGCTTACGACAAATAACATCTGCTTGGAAGTTTTTGAGTGGTAAAGCAGGGGCGTCGTTAACTTATAGCCTTAATATCGGCACTGGTTCAAATCGCTCATTTCCGGATTGGTTAGGTTGGTTGAACTCGAATAAGGACTTGGAACCGGAGGTCTAAAAGTACACATCTGGCTCGTGTGCAATTTAAAAAGCTCATTGCATATTTCAGAAGTGTAGGAGGACTCCGATGTCTAGGTTTATGTCAGCCCCTACCTGAACATGAAGTTACTTACCCCTTCTCTTTGGCTACGCACGCCCATACGCAATAATTCAGCACAATGTTGTTGCTAGTCCTCCGATCCTACTATTACTTTCTTTAAGCTACATATAAAGATTATATATTACAAAACATGAGTGATTTTTTTTTGTTTTCATCGCATAGGTTGTTTCTATAGAACAGGCGAAGAGCTATGGGCCTGAACCTGTACACATGTCGGTGTAGTCTTGCATAACGTAAGTCGCAGCTTCAATTGTACATTAGTTCCCCGTGGTGGAAGCGAGGTGCCGGAGAGACCGGTTACATATACTGTAGTCCTTTTACACGTATAGACCTACTATCAAGTTGCCTTTAGGTCCAAGTGGTGACAAACACAAAACGCACATTCGATAAATATCCACATGTGAATTTCACGACGCGAACATCACTGATACTAGAAAGCTTCATTAAGCAATAGCTATAGAGAGTTATAATACAGTAGATACAAAGCCAAACCTGTTAGGTCTATATTGGATACGGAGAAAAAATGTCAATATCACTCAGTGATCATATAATACCAATTGGCGTAATTCCATTTCTTTAACTCGAAAAATATATTTGTCAGTTGTGCCAACTAAATTTGAGAAGCACAAAATATTTGCAATAGTAATAGCAGCTGTTATGTGGCAGTGTCTAAAAAAAATCACAAAACATCAACTTTTTTTTTCAAAATGTTTATAAGTATAAATCATGCCACTTTTTGGTTGCTTCACGATGGCTGACCATTCTGCCCCAATGGCTTAAATTCCGACCATCTGTGTACATGTACGGTCCTAGAATCAACCTACCAATCGTATCATCTCTCTTAAAATGTCCCTTCTGCAGAACTTGTATTACAAGACATGCGTCGCTTATATATTCACTGGGAACTACAAACGTCAGCGATTCTGTAAAAATCGGACTTGCTCCGGTTGAAACGTTTGTATGACGAGATTTAACCTTGTTCTCGCCTACCATGAGAGATACTTTTACATACGTTTCTGAAAAAATGAAAAAGGAACATATACGGTATTATGTCAACAGTTGCATTAACGATCAAACGTATTAAGTGTTTAAAAACCGTAATGAAATAAAATGATCGTGTTTCTTGGAGCAATGACCTCATTGCTCTGAAAAAAATGTTGGAGTATTAATAAAATAAATTACTCTATAGATATAATTATAACAAACACGCAAATAATGGTAGAAACAGTGATCGAAATAATCAACTATGATGTATCAGACTCGCATGGGAGCGAAGAGATGGCGGGTTTAATTCCAGCCATAGAAATGTGTCCCAATTGATAATGCCCAATATATATATATATATTAAAGAGTAGGTTTGCATGTATGCTCCAAGTGAAATAAAATGCAAAAGCAATGAAAAAACGGTGTACAATCATTGAAAGTTGACTTGCGGAACACAAATTTATTAAGGTATAACAAAATTAAACGGATATTTCGATAGCTCCTGCCATCTTTATCAACGTTAAAGTATATATATATATATATACATATACATATATATATATATATATACATATACATATATATACACATACATATATATATGTATATATAAGTATACCACGCTCAGCAACATTGCTTACATATTATTATATAGAGCTTACATCGTTTACTCAGAATTGAATTTCAAAACGATTTGAGGCCATCTGTACATAGATTATGTCGTTTTAAATTAAGCTATGAGAAACAGACACTTTCCATATCTATTATTATGTACACTTAGCGAAAATAATACTAGGGGTTTTCCCTAAGTCTCCATGATATTCATTACCTCGCCATCGACATTGACCATAAGTGCAATTTAGTTCTCTGCACTTAACTTTCCCTTCTTTCTACTGCACTGCATAACATGTCGGTTACTTCTCTAACTTACCCAACGATTGAAGTTCTTTAGATTCCTTTTCTTTACCCTGTAACCCGTTAGCTCGTAGTATAACTACAGACAATCGTTCATTGGATGGTAGGTACGCTAATGTCAACATCAAACGACCCAAATGTTGAGTTATCTGGCAGAAACCAATAATAGTATTAAAAATATTAGTAGTAATAGCAGTATCAGCAGCAGCAAAAATAACAGAAAGTGTGGCTGTGGGTGTAGCAGCATTGGTAATGGTATAATAGTGGTATCAACAGCAGTAGCAATAGTAGTAAAAGCACTAGCTGCTGCAGTAGCAGTAGTACTATTAGTAGGCGCAGCAACAGTAGCAATAGGAGTAGCTATAGCAGCCGCACTAGTAGTAGTAGTAGTAGTAGTGGTGGTGGTGTGGTGGTGGTAGTGGTAGTAGTACTTAGTAATAGCGGTATGGGTAGTGGTAGTGGTAGTATCTTCTTCATCATCAACATTATGATAATGATTAGTTGGCCTGTTTGCATAATATTTTTAGAATTAGTATTATTTCAAATATTAAACCTAATAAAATTGACAGCGTTTTTGTTCTCTTTTCATAAATTATTGTAATTTTATGCCTAGTTTATTATAGTATTATATTACGGAAACTGTCACTCCACACCTCCTAATATTATGTCAATTGCATGACTAAAAAATATCGGGAATTATTTAGTTCATGAATTAGATCCTTAACGGAAAACACATTGAATGAACGCTTGATATAGCCTCTTGGGACATTTATCAACACGAAGCTTTGATGAATACGGGCCTAGATTACGTAGGATTAAGTACTTGTACCGAAAATCGTTTACAAGAGTATTAAGCCACATACACTAGACACGATTACGACACCGACATATCATCCAGTAGTTTGTATTCTTCAACACTGCGCTCATCTGTATCGTGTCGTAGTCGTCTCGTAATCGTGTCTAGTGTAAATAAGGCTTTATGCGTGAGGTCATCAAAATGGAGTGAACATAAAGCTTGTTTCCTTAACATTGCTACACTGTCGCTACGGTGTTTGCAGTGCAATCGTTGCACTGCGTGCAGTTCCCTGCGCAATCGGGAAGGCTCCCCGATTCGAACGGCCAATCAGCTTCACCGAAATCTGTCGGCAAATAGCGTGTAGCGATTGTATGGATGCCAAGCTTAAGTGTTTGTCAATTGGTTTGAAATAAAGCAATTCTATATTAACTCACTGAATCATACACGCATGCATTTTTTATAAATAGAAAATAAAAGTAGTGCATACCATTGATCGTTTTTTTATTGCCTTTTTAAAAGTTTTTGGATGCCCTCCGAAGTCACATTGCGTAAAAGGAACGATCACGTGACCCACGACGTTATACTTGTGGCGACGTACGGCGTCGTAGACGGACATGCGAAGTGCTTGTTTTTCTAACGATTTCTTCATATCCAAAGGGAAGTCAATCTCTTCGTCATATTGGGGACTTAATGTTTTATGAACTACACTCGATTCGCTTGTGAATTTTTCGTCTGGTAAGATGCACGCCGAAACGACTGTATCGTATGCCGTGTCGCCATGTCCCTTCGCTGGGAGATCAGAAACTTGCTGTAGATGTACAACCATTCTGAAGCAAATAATAAAATATTTAGGCTCTCGTTTGTGTCATCAAGTTTTGATGTAACTATTTTGAGTATATTTATAACAAAATACTTACACACCATAGGCCTACCCATGATTATATCGTAAAGGTTAATTATCAGATTACACATATCTATACGTTTCCTATGCGGGTATAAGTATACATTTTGTCTATAATTAACATAATTTCAATCTTCGTCAACTTAAAGTTGGAGGTATGTCATGGTCCAGACCGTTCTCAGGTCACCATTAAATAGGCCTATCTTTTTAAGACTTCCACGAATGGATACCTTGTTCGAAGCAAGAATTCAAGTGGTCTTTACCCAGTACCGCTCGTTTATGTCATTCGGCGAGAATTTTACCTTATCATATGAATATTAACGCTGCGTATTCAATGGGGTTTGTCAGATGATGTTTGATAACAATTACTAATATAAAGCATCATCATACGTTTCACATGGTTACCCTGGCAATTTGGATCAAATCCCTATGGAATACATATAGTTCCCTGGGGATATTCCATACTGTTGCAGGTAGTGATCGCAGCATTGGCATTCACAGACCGTGGGTGGGTAACATGACTAAGTAATACCTCAGTTGCCAAAAAAATAAAAATAAAAATATAAAAATATAAAATAAAAAAATAAAAAACATTGGAAAGACTCTATGGTACGTCCAAACCCCTTCTCGGATAAATCAAACCACACTTCTCCTCTTGAATTAGACCTATATACAATAATGGAATTCAACATTTACATACAGCATATTGTAATGCTTCTGCTTCTGGGACATATTCCCGTTTACCCCACTAGGTTTCTAATCTCCATTGGACCTCTGACTCCCATAAATACCCCCACCCCACAATAAAGTGATCAGCCTCATTCTCGAATCTCCTTTTGATTGGAAGCCTAAGTCACGATTAGAGCATCTGTGTTCTAACTTTTGGACTTTATCCTATTTATTACTCATTGAGTTAGGCAAAATATCCCAAAATGACTTAGGTAATTTTGTAGTAGGTAAAAGAAGTGAGGCAAAAAAATCGCAAAACGTGAAAAAAACTTTTGCAGTGGGTAGCAAAAATGTACATTGTACTGCAGCGTAGGGGACAGACCTGTTCTTTGCTATTTTCTTTTAAAGGTATCATCTTATCTGATACAATTCTCAAATACTAATAGTGTTATCACAGTGCTGGTAAAGAAAAGCTCTGCGTTGACATTCGTGTAAGATTAATTTTCCACCGATCCTCATATACAATATGGATTTCCCTTAAGGTATGTGTTGTAATTAAACAATAACAACACTTTTCGGTCAGAGGGTTAGCCGGTATAATCATTGTCCATTTCTCGGCCCTCATTTGGTTTCTTATTAATGACTGGCGTCTACTAGATGTGAATCTAGCTAGTCATGTCACTAAAACGTCGCTAACGTTCATCTTAAGGTTTAATTATGCACGCATCGAGAATTGTATTTCCCACTTCACTAATAAAACAATCATACACGCTTTCACAACCAATCGATTATCGGACTAACTTACTGTGGTTGGCACTATTAATACCACAGTGTTCGGATTGAACGCCTACAAACCACCTACAGTTGTTCGGATTTATAGGTCGGTCTTATAATAATGCGCATCATACTAAAGATACTATCATTATGTCTATTCGCTTCGCATTATTACCACTGTCGCTGGATTAGAATATTCGGATCCAAGAATTCGAAATAGAGCCCGGGCCCAAAGAAAAGCATTTACAGACCAACATTTTAAGGCTATGGCACCTCCGAAAATGTAATTTTCTCTTTTTTTTTTCTATTTTTATTATTTTCAAAAATTAAGGGGCCCAGGTCAGTAGCCCCACTCCCTCCCACTGAATCAGTCCCTGGCAGTAATCTATAATGCTTCTGCTTTTAACCAGCAGTGTATTTGGTATTAGAGGGTTGTCGCAAGCTTACGAAAACGATAACCGGTTACGTCATCAATTACTAAGACAACCCTTCCCCTACAGTAGCATATTTGTCAGAAAGTAGGAGATTCATGCCTTTTGCATGAATCAAGGATCATATTTAGCTCATACACCATATTGTCAGGAATGTTTTAGGCACGAATGACGATAACGACAATGACGTATTCGTATTCGTTATCGTTTTCGTAAGATTGCGAAATCGCTCTAGAGTATTAACATACCAACACCAGCTAAAACACCTGAGCGGAGAAAGACAAGTAAAGCAAGTACCTTCCACTTGGACAAACGGGACACAAATGAACAAAAACAAGTGTTCACATTGGGCTATAGGCACCTGACTTTTGATGGAAACATAAAGTTATACCGATGCGCCAAATTCTCCCTCAAAACGTTAACGAAATTCATATAAAATATTATTCAAATTCAGACGTAATAAGCTCATTCTACTGATACCATGCACTAGCGCCTTTGATCTTGACTTAGAATTTTGATTCGACGTTACAAATGTCGACGCAGTATCATTTCGTCTTCGCAGAAATTATTAAGCGTGAACTCTAAACCGAGAGAGCTACGCGTACTGAGCACCCTAATTGTTCCAAAAATAACATACAAGTATGCTATAGATATATTATCAATCAGCCGTTGGGAAGTTATCTTTTTTTTCTTTTTTTTTAACTTTCCCATGGTGTACTGTGATTAATGTTACCTATGTGAAGCCTTGCTATATCTGATGGCGAACGTCATGGACCCGTACGTTTCGGTGAATTCATCTATGCTTCCCCCAGAAAAAGACTTAGAACGCTTTCCATCAGATTTGACGTCGTCGCTAGGGTACAGCTCCGGACGTAAGGTGCCAAGTGGGAATTGTGGGGTGACAAAACTTGAACGCCTTCTGTCCATAAGAGGCGATATGTTCGGAGAATGTGTTAATGTGATGGCGGGAACAGCATCTTCTTGCGATGTTGTCGATTCGCCACTTTCTGATGCTGTGGAGAAAAACATGATGTTTTCTGTTACTTAATAATAATAATTATGATGACGATGATGACGTTTACGATGGTGAGGCGACACGAAGCGTACAATGATATCCAAAACAGAACATAAAATAGGCCTGCATTTCAAAGGTTAACAAATAATATATTATAGGCATATTGCAAAAACTATATGTAAATATATTGAATAATGAATTATTTTTTCTTTTGTATATAATAATAATAATAATAATAATAATAATAATAATAATAATAATAATAATAATAATAACTTAATAATGTTGGTAATTTTACCAAATGTATAGCTTTATATAATTTAAATATTTTTGTTTAATGTAATGTAATTCAATTATTTCTGCAATTTAGCTTTAGCTGCAATAGAATAATTTCAATGGATATGCCATGAATAATGTGTTTAATTTATACAAAAAATATATCGCACATAAAGTAACATAAATGAATGAGTTTTATGGTCGTTTTTATGAATGACAGACTACAACTATGCTAATTCAAAAGCTCTCTTATAAATCATCCATTATTAGTGAAGCTTAATATGTGTTTTTTTAGTATGTTTTACAATGTTTTATAGCTTATATTCTGGCGAATCGAGGAAGTGCGTTACAAGAAGTAAAATCGACATGGGGAGCGGGGCTCTTGAACTAGTGCTTCCGGACCATCGACCCATAGGCTGTGACCACTCTGCATCTTATTCTAAATAAAAATTACCAATATGGATACATAACTATTTATCAAAATAATTAACCTACGAATAATATTAATAATAATAAATAATAATAATAATAATAATAAGATTTATAAATCGCAAATATCAACTGCAGTAGTGCTCA